ATCTTTCTGAGAAGACCACCAGTCTCATATTAGAAGTCCAACACATTATACACTGCACCTCCGGTGTGATTTTTTTTTTATAGCACTAGAATACTAGACTTTATTGTCAGCAAGTCTGAATTGATTCATAGCTGATCCTCCAGTGGGTTTTCAGAGGCAGTATATTGTGTTTAAAGAGACTGCCTGTTTTTCTTCCGCAGGGCAGCTGGTGGATATGGACCACCTGCCCACTCAGTCACCAGACCTCAGGTGTTTGACTATGTGGATTATAACAATTATGGATAATGTTGAGAAGAATGTGAGTCCCTGAATATGTAGTTGTGCTTGTGCAAAGCCGAGAAAGAAGCTATTGTCCAAACAAGACGAGAACGCTCTGTGGTTTTAAAGCAGGAAAGGTGTGCTTCAGGCTTGTATCTTTTCTCCATATCTGTTCAGTCTGTATGCTGAGCAAATAATTCAAGAAAACTGGGTTATATGGAGAAAATGAAGTATAAGGATTAGAGGAAGACTCATTGACAACTTACAGTATACAGATGAAACAAAAGAAGACGACTTGAAGCACTTGCTGCAGAAGGTCAAGGATTATAGTGTTCAATATGGGTTACATCTCAACATCAAGAAACTAGAAATTTTCACTACTGGACTTAGAGGCAACATCATGACAGATGGAAAAAAGATTGGAATTGTCAACTAGTTCATTTTACTTAGATCCACGATTAGCATCCATGGTGATAGCAGTCAAGAAATCAAAAGATGTATTACATTGGGGAAATCTGCTGTCATGGACCTCTCCACAGTGTTAATGAGCTAGAATATCAATTTAAAGACTAACATGCACCTGATCCAAGCTACAGTTTTTTTCAGTTGATTTTTCTGCCTAAAGCACAGAGAAATCTGTCTTGGAGGAAGTACAGCCAGGATGGTCCTTAGAGGCAAGGTTGTGGAAACTTCCTTTTACAAATTTTGTCTGGAGGGACCAGGCCTTCGAAAAAGACATCATGCTGAGAAAGTTGGACAGTTAGTGAAAGAAAGGAAGACCCTCAACAGAATAGATTAACACCGTGGCTGTAACAATGGGCTGAAGCAGAGGAGAAATTGTGAGGATGACTCAGGATAAAGTTTAGAATTCTTTTTCATAGGTTTGCTGTAAGTCAACTCAACAGCACCTAACAATCACAGTATGTTAGAAGGGAGTTCTTTTGGTCCTGTGGATAATGAATTGCACTGCTAACTCAAAAGTACTCCATTTTAATCCATTAGCTGCTCCCTGGGAAAAAAGATGAGCTGTTTCCTCTCAGTGGACAGATTCTAAAGACCCATTGGAGGGTCAACTATGACCCTTCATTGGCTCTGGCAAAGAAATTTCTTTCTTCTTATTATGCTAGAATTAAGCTCATTTCTGTATCTCCAGCATTTAGAACAATACCACTTAGTATAAAGCAGATGCTGAATAAATAGTTGCTACATGAATGAAGTAAATCCCAAGGGGAATGAAAATAAATGAAAGCCTCTTTACAAAATCCGTATGTCCACATATGATCACTCCCAGGTTTAAATGGCCACTTACTGCAATGTGGCCATGTGCATATTACATATTTTTTCAGACTATTACTTTTATTATTTAGAAAATGAGAGTATCATTAGAATTGTTATGAGGACAAAATGATAGATACAAAGAAATGATGTAAAAAATTTTTTAAAAAGTAATGATGTACAGAAAGCTCATATCATGAGGTCCTGCTCCTAGCATAATAGTCAGCAAATGCTAATTCCTTTCTGATATTCTTCCTCCTCTGGATTTGGCTGAAAAGTTAGGGAGCATCCCCTGATTTTGTGGTTGTACTCGGAGTTACCAATTAACCTGAATTTTACTTTAAATCCCACTTCTGATTTTTATGTGAGATTTAATCAGTTTATTTCTTTTCCAAAGATTTTGTGACTGAACTAGCGTGCCAGAGCTTTTCTTGGACCTCACCTAACCTCTCTTTGTATTCTGAAGCCTTTCCTGACCATGTTTTATTCAGGCCGTTCCATGCACTGGCTCTCCTTTACCTTTGTTGAGGTTGCCCTCTCTGCCCTTTGCCAGGGTTAACTTCTGGTAAGAGGGCGAGTGGCTGAACCACACCCTTGGCTGCTGGATCCAAATTTATTGCCTTCTCTTCTACATTCGGCCTATTTTGCTGTCTCACCCTCCAGAGATGCTTACTCACAGCAACTGCAAGACAGTAGAGTCATTTTTCCAGAGAAGTGAACGGTTTCCAGTGAAATTTAAAATGCACCAAAGTGTGTTTCAGATTACATGCGTGAAAAGGAGCAGTGCTTTATAACTTGGTTTTTGAGGATGCTTTGCTTTTCCTCCATACAGGTTTGTTGGTTTGCAGAGTAGACCCAATATCTGTCACCTCCTCAGCAACCTGGTTTTGCCCTGGCCATGTGCTAACTCTGACCTCATTACTTTGTATTGTGGCAAAGTCAGGGAGTATTATTGAATTCAATTGCTTTTTCAATTTAAGTTTTCATTTACAAAGATCACATCTTTTGCCTAGTGGCAAGAAGCTGCACTGCAATCCCAGAAGTACACTGTGACAATCCACCAGATGCACTGCTGGAGAAGGAGGGGCAATATTCTCCTGTACCAGTCAGATCTGATTTGACAGTACACAGACACAAAATAATAAAATAAAAAATAAAGATCACA